TTATAGATTGTTGCCCAAGAAGATAAGGTTAAGAACTTATCTAAACAATCTTGGAAGCACACAAGTTACACAGAAGAGCATGAGAGAAAGTGATTGCTTAAGAAAGATCTTGAGAAATCTTGTGTTAGCTTATGTGTGCTTTGCTTCGCTGCAGAGAAGAGAGTCTCTTTAGCTATTTATACATATTGCATTTAATGCAAGTCAGAGGGTACAAAGTATGTGGCAAACTTCTAAAGGAGAGTTTGTCCTCTATCTTCAGATATACAGACTTTTAGCCATACAAGAACAATTGTCTTTTACAAAGTAGGTAAGCACGCTTGGAAACAATAGAGTAACTCATTACATGTATTTTACTGTGTGAGATATGGAGTTGTCCTTTGTGTGCAGGAGGATAAGACAAAAACTAATCTTGTAGAGCAAGATTCATTTGATTGCTGACACTGGCTTAACTCTAGAGTTTCTTTAGTGTTCACTGAATCTTGGTCAGATTTCACATTTGATGTAGACACGCTTGTTATCACTGAATTCGCTTCAGATCACGAACTACTGTCTCTATTTTCAGCTAAATCTTCGATATTGCTGAAGGTTCCTTTTGTGTGAGTTTTGTCTTCTTGAAGAATATTTGTCCTTTACAGAAGCTTACATACATGTTCAACGATTACGGAACAGACTCAGTTATGATCGTTGAAACGAAAACAGAACTAAGTATTTTTGTTAAGTATAAAGGATCATCATCAAATCACTGAGAGAGTTTGGATCAAAAATCTCTCCCTATTTGATAATGACAAAGCAACATAAAAGAAAATTGCTAAGTCGTTACAGTATGGAAAAAGAACTTGTAAGAACATGTCTTTTTTATTATTTTTGGGCTCTTTTTCAGTGTCAGGGAATATTATGGAAATTCTTGTATTTGTAAAGGATTACAATAGAGAAAATTAAGTTACATAACGTAAATAACTCAACACTGAGAGCATATTAACTGACAAGAAAATAAGTCAAAGAATGTAAGAGAAATAGACTCATAAGTACTTGTCCCATTAATCTTTTCAGGGATCTTTTTCAGTGAACCAAAAAATGCATTAAAATTTCATTAAAGACGAAATATTACAGGTGATTGCAATTGGATAAAAATTATACACTAAAAGAAAAGAAAAGTAAAAGGTTACAAGATGAAAGGCTGCATTCAAGATCTTTGAAGGAGATGTAGCCAAGAACATCTTCTCCTTGATTCTTTCTTTTCAGCATTTCGTTTCGAATCCTACGGTCCATCATCTCTCCAAAGAGGTCTTCATTCAACCAAGTACGAATATACTCTAGATGATCCATTGGATAGAAATGGAACTCAGATACCTACTGGAACCTGTATTGACCGTCATAGTCAATGAACATAAGTCCATACTCAGATTTCACATGCACTATGTTGGAGTGGAGGGTCCCTTCTCAGTCAGTGTTAGATTCAACATTGAAATATCTAGCTTCTTCATGTTCTTGAAGAGTTCATCTACTGAGAATTTTGTCTCATGCGCGTTCTTGTGAGATGGTCCTTCTTTAGAATTAGAAAGGTTCTTTCTTTTTCGAGAGGTCTGTAGTGGTAGATGAGGAACCTCAATGATCTTTGAAACTTTGTTGAATAATTCATTCAGAACTTCTTCAATATACGCCTTATGCTTTGATTTAGACTTTTGAGTTGCATGTCAAATCTCAAATCACTCGTAGAATCCATATCTGCTAAAAAAGGAAGGATACTCCGTTATGGCATCATGCTTCTCTCGGAAGATGATCATAGAGACAAGAAGACCACCATCTTTCATCTGTCCGCTGATTGTGACGTTTGAAAACTTGTGAGGGTTCATCCTTGTCTCGATCCTTTCTCTGCACCGGTTCAACTCATGATCCTTTAGTGTCAACACTCTTTGATTTTTCTTTTCAATTTCTTTCAAGAGTAGATCTTGAGCACTTATGGAGTCATTTTGCATGAACCTTCCTTCGTCATGAGCTTCATCAGCTAGAGCTTTTTCGAACTCTAGACTTTCTTTAAGTTGTTGTTGATGTTGTTCCAGCTCTTGTTTAGCCTTCAGGGATTCTTCTTGTTCAGCTTTAGAGAAGAAGTCGAAAACTCACGTCATCCAGAGGTATAAATAGTAATATTTACTCTGAATTGGTCGATCTGACTTATTAGTTGAGCCATCCTCTTATTTTCTTTAACCTCGGGACAAAGGGGAGTCTATACGACTTCCTAGTGATGAAGTTACATTTTTCATCTTCTTTGTCATCCTCTTCGTCACTTAATTCGCATAAGAATACTGAAGGGACATCAGCTGAAGAAGGTTGGGTAGAGGGCTGAGATATATCATTGAATAGAGACATATGGTTGGAGGGTTTAAGGTAGGAGGAAGAGAAAGAAAAGATGAAGGCAAGGGGTTGAAGGGTTTAGCTTTAAAGGTAAAGTGAGCAAAAACGGTTAAGGCATTTGTTACCTCTGGAAGGCTGAACACCCCTTGTAGAAAAGCTAGGTTTTTTTCAGCAAAAACTTTCCCTTGCCAGATTAGGAGTGCTGGTTGTGAGAAGATCTTTCCCCCAGGGATGAAAAATCCTGGATAGAGATTCATTTGGTTGGCTGTCTGGAGATGGGTTGGATGGAAAAATCATCATTGTCATCATCATCATCATCACTACCTCCAAGATTAGTTCCAAATCCATGGATCTCGGCATCCTTATCATCCTCATGTTCATCAACCTCTTCTCCATCACCATCATCGACTAATGCAGAGCTAGAACGTAGAGGGAATTCAAGGTCCATGACATCGGCTCTATGATTCTGGAGAAGGAAGTCTACTTCAGCTTCAACAGCGTCAACATCAATATTGTCCTTTTCTGTATCCTTATCCCCTTTTTTCTCATCATCAACAAAGGAAGGGAGGCGAGTGGATAAGTCGGTCAGCTTCTACTCGATGCAGACGAGAGCTTCAACTTGCTGAATGTTGAACTCAGCGACAATATCCAGCTGATATGGTAAGCACTGTTGAATGACAGTTCAGAGATATGTGTTATACGTTGAAGAAGCGTAAAAATCTGTTCAAATAGCTCACCATGCCTGGTAAGCTGAGCCTGAACCCCCTTAGCCTTCTTAAAGAGATCAGTGATGGTGTTGGAGTTGTGATTGACTTCTCTCTTCATATCAGTCAGCTCATTCCTATCTGCAAGAACCTTAATTTTGACAGTAGAGAGGTCTTGAGCCAAGTCTTCCTTCACGGGCATTGTCAGATCCCTAGTCTCTCAATCTATGAATAGATGTAAGAAAATTAGTGTTGAGGAAGATGATCTATTCCTTGTGTTATGAAGAATTCATAAACAACTATGAATGATCAATAACAGTTGGTAGCTATTATCATCTTCATTGATATTTGAGAGAAAAACTTTGATTACAATTAGGGATATAAACGAACCGAACGTTCAGCGAACCGTTCGTGAACCGTTCGGTGGGAAGTTCGTTTATGTTCATTTATTTAATAAATGAACGAACATAAACAAAAAAAATTGTTCGTTTAGTTAAACGAACGAACATGAACAAGAGTCTCGTTCGTTCATTTATGTTCGTGAACGTTCGTTCATTTATGTTCGTTTATATATTAATTTTAATATATTATTTATTTAGTTTGAATTCAAATTTTAAAAACCCTTTTAAGTATTGGGCTTTTAAGAGGGTTTTGTCCTTTTAATATTGGGCCTTTTTTAAGAGGGTTTTGCTTGGTTGTTCACTTGTGTTGTTTATCTTCTAACTCAATAACTCACGTCGTCTACGCCTCTACGGTCTAGGTCAAGTTTCAACTTTCATATATTGCCATCGAGTGATCGACTGGTCGTGACTCGTGAAGGGTAGAAGCAGAAGGCGACAGGTGCAATACAGGCTGTGCAGCTCTTGGATATCAATCGCCAATCGTGAAGGGCAGAAGGGGGGACAATCTCTATCTAGGTACATTATCTCAACTTTAATACCTTAAAGGATCGTCATGAAAGAGTATTTTGAAGAGATTATGGAGCTTAGAATGTGTTCGTTGTGCCGTGCCCATTGATATAAACATTGAAGCTATCAACATTGATATAACCTGCATATTGTTTAAACATGAATGATCTTTAATTAAACTGTTTAAATAATCAAAATATGTAGACATCAGACATCTACATATCTTCGTTTTATTAAGTTGTTATCCAGCTAAAGATGGTACTATAATCTTTAATCCTTGTTATATCAGCTTCCGATGGTACTGAAATCTTGGAATCTATATAATTCTGTTAATGCTAATTCAAAATCTATTGAAAATAAACAGCTAACGTAAATGGACACTCAATTTTGTGTTGTGTGTGAATTTTATGTTTTTCCAAAACCCTAATTTTGTTTTCTTATGCAGTTATAAAGCTTCCAATGGCACCATAATCTGGAACTCTACATAGAATCATCAATGTCAGTTCAAAATTTGTTGAAAGAAACAATTAATCATAAAGGGGCACACGAAATGGACAGTAAAATTGTGTGAAGTTTTATAGAATTGACGATGGTTAGTGTTTGAATTGGTTTTGCGTTTCTTGTTCATTCGTATTTCCCCAACTGCAAGATTTTATATTTTGAATATAAATTGTTCAAGATGGTACCCCTTTTTTTGGAGTAAATCACATAACTGCTTCTAAATTGTTCCCCCATTAACACATATGTTATATTTAGATGAAATATTCTCTATGGATCTTGGAGGTATAACATTTTTTGAGGTGTCTTTTTGTTAGTGGCGTCATTGATGTAATGGATAATTATGTGACCACTCCAATGTTATGTTTCTAGTAACAATTGATGTAATGGATAATTATGGATAATGATTTGTTATGAGCTCTTCATATTACATTATAATGATTATTTAAATTGTTTTTTTCTTTTTTGCATTTTGTAGATGTCTGATATCTCTTGTAGCGGCCCATATTTCTTTCAAGGTGATTTATATTTAGATCGAATGCGATCGCCTCAAGAACTTGAGTCAACCAAAATTGAATCAAGTGCAAACACATCAAGAATGGAAAGTACTCCTGAAGTGGTTGTTATCGAATCAAATGATGGAGACGACGTTGCAGCAGCCGTTGATGGTGGTAGAGAAAAGGCCAACATAGTCAGCACTGAAGAATCTACTCCATATGCTAAAAGGAAAAGAAAGAAGACTTCAGGAGTTTGGGAACAATTTCGCTTGGTGAAGTTGGCTAATGGAACTGAAGTTTGTGAGTGCATCCATTGTGGTGAGAAGATAAAGAAACTAAAAGATGGAACCACCACATCATTGCATAGGCATATTAGTGATTACCCAAAGTTAAGAGTCGTCAACACCATTCATCCAGGTCAGTTAAAGTTAAAGGTTGTGTCGGGGAAATTAGATTCTTCTGTAGTCCAAAACTGGAAATTTGACAATAGTAGTTTAGAGAGGTTGTTTCTCACATTTAATTTTGTTGAGTATGAACTATTTAATGCGGTTATGAAGGAAGCTAACCTCGGGTTTAACAAGATTTCACTTGCATCGGCTAAGCAAGATTGTGTTGCTAGTTATGAGATAGGCAAGAAAAGAATCAAGAAAATGTTAATCGTTGTCAATCGTGTGAGTACAACAACTGATATGTGGACATCGGTGCAGAATATTCATTATATGGTTGTTACTTGTCATTTTGTAGATTCCGATTTCAAGCTTAACAAATGCATATTGAGTTTTGTTGATGTACCACCACCTTATTATGGACTATGTATACATGATTCCCTCTTTAAGTGTTTAAAAGAGTGGAATATTGAGACAAAGGTTGCTACTTTGACGGTTGTCAATGCTACAACTAATGATGTGGTGGCTACAATGTTGATGGAAATTATGAATCTTCAGAAAAAGCTTGTTGTTGGGGGGAAGTTATTCCATGTGCGGTGTTGTGCACATATTCTCAACTTGTTGGTTCAAGATGGTTTATCGGAAATAAAAGACATTATTCACAATGTTCGTGAGAGTGTGAAACACGTGAATGCCTCTCCAGGTCGATTGCATATATTTAGCCAACTTTTCAAGCAAATAACCTTATCAAAGAAGCATTTGATCTTAGATGTTAGTACCTGATGGAATGATACGTATGCTATGTTGTCTACAGCCTTGGAGTTTAAGAAGTGTTTGTGAATTATGTCGATCGAGAATCAACATACAAGACCTTGCCGACCTCGGAAGATTGGGACAAAGTTGAAGTTATWTKCTCMTTCTTGGGGCTTTTCAATGAGGTTACAAAAATAATTTCAGGTATTATTGATTTTCTTTATGGTTTTCATTATAAGTCATTTTTTCGAAGCTAATCACCTAATTCTCATACACTTTTATTTACTTCTTTTATTTTATAGGCTCCGAATATCCTACTGTTACGAGAATTATATAAAATAAATCTCTCGGACTGTTAGCAAATGGAGATTAGTGCAAGTATACACTTATCAATCCACTATCGACTTTTACAAGCAATAAAGTGGTAAAAATACCAAATATCGTCCATGGGGAAAAGGAATAAAAGTTCGTTTTAAAAGTCTAAATAAAGATAGATTTCAGATGGTGAATTCGAAGAAATATTTGTGGTGAGTTGGTTAAACACTATTGTTGTGAACAAGTAATAGAATAGAGCTTAGGGTGTAGGGATTTGTTAGGATATTAAACCGATTTTTAAGTAGATAGCATGCTACAACATGGTTCTATAACATGCTTTATAAATAACTTGTCTTTACAACTAATAGCTTCTTTAAGGTACTCTCTCGAAATGTAGAATGACACATAATCCCAGATTAAGCCTTCATATCTCTATGCAAGGCTGGAGTCTCGACATTGGCTCAAACTATTCCTTATATAAGCTAAATGGAGTGAAAACGAGTCTCCTCGATTCTAAGTAGCTCTCTCGAGCCTACTTCCATATCATTCAAGTTGACGTGTGCTTGTTGGTTTATCTCTAAATCCAACACACTTTAACACTTTTAAACAAGTGATCAACTTGTCCATGGATGATGTTTTTGCAATATAAACTTAAATGGCGTAGTTGTAAAGATTTATTATTTATATTTCTACAAACGGAATCGGTATTTCTCTTAACATCACCCAACACCCAAGCTATATTTTTAGCCTACCATACTTGAAATAATAAAATTAATTGCATATATAATAAAACATAATAAGTAAAGCACAAGAACAGAAAAGAAAGTAGAAGAAATAAATGTTAAGAGGAATTATAAAGGAGACTTAAATGTAAAGAGAATTTAAAATGCTTCCAAACACTATTTTCAAACCCAAGAGAACTTCCAACTTACATCCAAAGTTACTTACAGAATTACTTGCTAAATTTCTTACCTCTAAAATGCCAAGCATATCTCCTTTATATAGTAGGAGAAGGGAGGACTTGGACCCAAAAATAAAGCTATTAACCAACTTTTTCATTGTCCACAGGGTAAAGCAATGTTTATCCAAAAATTAGTCAAATAGAAGATCTTCAATCTGTACCATAAGATCTTTAAAGCTGCAGAAGATTGGCTGCCAAAAAGAAGGATTGGACATCAAAAGATTCTTCGTACTATTCTCAAAAAGGCCTCTGGAATCATCCTGCAACACACGTTGTAGCATCCTTCAACCAAACACCTATTAACATGGCTTTTTTTTTTCAAAAATCAGCACATACCCAAGAAGTAAACATGTTTATCATATCAATTTAGCTCTAATACAAAAAAATATAGAAAAATAAAACAAAAAGACTCAATTTGCGGAATTTTGGAAAAATAAAATGGACAAATAAAGTAAGAAAAAGTGTAAAAGCATTAAATAAGTTGATACTTATCACCTACCTCTAATTTGTTTCTTAGTGAGTTGTATGGGAATAAAAAAGCATTGGATGATTTGTCTTTAGATGAGAGTAAATATATGAGAGATATGGCTCTTAAGATGAAAAAGAAATTGGACAAATATTGGGGTACTTGTAAATAATTGATTTCCATTGGTGCTGTTTTAGATCCTAGATACAAGATGAAGTTGGTTGAGTTCTCTTTTAGTTCCATTTATTCAGTGGAAGAGGCACCTAAACAAATGAAAATTGTTCAAGATACTCTTACTAAAATGTTTGAAGAGTATGTTGAACAACATAAAGCTGCTAATGTTGTTCAAATGAGTAGTGCACCTGACAAGAGTGAAAGTGGAGTTAAGAGTGGTTATAACAAGTTAAGTTCTAGAATTGGTATCAAGAGTGACACGACAAAGTATGATCAACATATCAGAAGCGCTGACACTTTTGCAAGTGTGAAGTCAAAGTTAGACATTTATTTAGAAGAAGGCTTGTACATTGGTAATTTAGGTGCATATTTTGATGCCCTGGAGTGGTGGGAGGAGAAAAATCTAAAGTTCAGAATTTTATCTTAAATGGTTGCTGATGTTTTGGCAATTTCGATCACTGTTGTTGCTTTAGAATTAGCTTTTAGTGCTGGTGGGAGAGTTATCGATGCTCATCACGCCTCTTTAGGGACGAAGACGGTAGATATGCTCATTTGCGGAGCTGATTGGTATCGTCATCATTATGGACTACACACAAAGAAAATCAAGGTAATATGCTTAATGTTATCAATTATGATATTTGTTTTCTTACAATAACTAATAATTATTTTGTTTGTTTGTTGTAGGAAAATGATGATATGATATATATATTGAACTTCCATGAGGTGACAGCTGACAAGTGATGATGAGAGGATTGTTTTTTTTGTTCAAATGATGATGGTGATTTGTTTTTATCTTTTTGGTATATTAATGATGGTTGATGATAGGTTATTGTTTTGTTTATGTTTAAACTATGGACAATTGGTGTGTAATAGTTAACTGAATGGCAAATAGTGGTGTTCGTTTGTTTATGTTCATTTAGGCATGTTCGTTAATATTCGTTTAGGCCTGTTCATTTATGTTCGTTTAGGTCTGTTCGTTTATGTTCGTTCGTTTACGTTCGTTTAACTTGTTAACGAACGAACATAAACGAACACAAACATACCTGATTTCTAAACAAACGAACACGAACAAAATTATTTTCGTTTGTTTATTGTTCGTGTTCGTTCGTTTGTTCGGTTAAGCTAAATGAACGAACATGAACAAGCCTCTGTTCGTATTCGTTCGGTTCGTTTACAGCCTTAATTATAATTGCATATTTGAAATAGCATTACACACACTAAGTAATAAAAGCTAGAGTGAAGGATATCTAACAGAATGCAGTTCAACAGCTATTTATAACCTCCTAGAGAACAAAGTCAAGGCACTATGAATCACAGTCTGCCATGTGTAAAGTTGAATAACTGTCTCTAGGTGGCATGTCCAATCAAGAGCCTCCATGTGTCAGTTTGTTAGGCAAGAGTTGACTTGACAAAAGTTGATGACCTAAGCATTTCATCAGCAGTTGAAGACCAGAAGGGGTTCTAGAGAGGCTCTGTTCATAGACCAGAGGGACTCTTCATCAGTAGGTAATTATCAGGTTAGGCATCTCTAGTTCTTCTTTGCCTATCTCTAGTTCTTCATTGCCTATCTCAAATGCCGACAACAAAGTCCGTGGTGCGCAGAAGAATAATACAGTTCGTATGGGCAGGTCGATAGAGGCAGCCCTATCTGTGACGAAGGTTAAATTGGGCACGTCATCGATACACTGCCTAAGCTTACGTAAAAACCATGTCCATGACGGGTCACTTTCTGTCTTCCCCACTCCCATTGCAATGGGTACGATACCATTGTTTCCATCCATGCCGACCGCTAAGAACATGGTGCCAACGTACGGCCCCTTCAGATGGACACCGTCCATTATAAGAAGCGGTCTCATGTGTCCTAGAAAAGATCGAATCTGCAGATGAACGAAATTAAAAATGTAATTTCAGAACATAAAATTATGACAATAATTATAAAATATGACAAAATTATTACCGAACAACTGAGTGCGACAAACAACATGTCGAATCGTCCAAGTGGATCAAGAGCGATCTCTGTCACAGTCCCCGGATTTGCTAGCTTCAAATTGTGACAATAAACAGGGAGTAGGTTAAACGACGATGTTGGGGTCCCCCTCAACAGTTGCGAGGCATACATCTTTGCTCGCCATGCTTGGTGGTAGGAGATGCTAATATTGAACCGTTGGTTCACATCTTCCATGATTTCTTTACCACGGTACACTCTCCTACAATCCTTTAAACTACTTGCCAATATATGACCCAAAACCTTTTTATTCACATTATGATGGTTTGGGTGCACTTGGGACCTTGAACATGTGTGTTCATCGTGGAGCTTCCGTACCTGAAGAATACTGGTAACCATCGATGGAAATAGCCATCAAACGCCAATCACAGTCCGAATCTGAGTGACACACCACCTCGTACCGGTGTTTGGAAGATTTCTTTACTTTCATCTGAAAGTTTTCATGAACGCACTTTAATCTGAAAGTTTTCATGAACGCACTTTAATCCCACTGCGAGCTTAAGTGCTTCCTTCGAGTCAAAGGTTTGTAGAACTTTGAAATGGGATGTAGGCTGATAGGAAATGTTTCCCTGTCTACTTTTGATAACTGGGTCCGGACAAGGTGGTGGGTCGGGCATACCCCAAAAACTATTCCTTACCGGCTTGATATCTTCAGAATCGGAGTTATCGTCGTCTTCGGGTATGTTCAAAATTTCGGCAGCAACAGAAACATCTTCTGCCATATCTACCTCCCATAACGGTTTTGACAGTTCGGGAGACCGGATCGGTACGGGTTGGGAGACTGCATCGGAGGCATGTTCAAGTCTTGAACAAAATAACTGTCAGATTTAACGGTAACTTTTTGTTCGATTTTCACCACTTCCACCACTAGGGAAGAAAGTGCTCTGGTTTACACAAGGAGCACAACCGGTAGGGAAGAGTGTGCTTTGACCATATGGGTTTGCACCGCTAACGTCGGGGAAGAGTGTGCTCACATCACCGGGGTAAAAAGTGTTTTGGACCGCCCGGGTTTGCACTTGATGGATTTCCTCCATAACCTCCATTGTCGACCACATATAGTGTCAACATTTTTGGTGAAGTTTGACGAATGGCGTTGTGGAGGATTACCACATCATCGTCGTCTATAAACTGATATAACGTATTCGTTTTAAAAAATAAATTGAAAGGACCACGTAAACTTAACTTTTTCGTCACACGTTTGACAACCCCAGAATACGTTATTGGCGAAGACAAACGTATTGCACATGTGGGGGGAGGTTATCGGAAGGTACTCTAAAACATCATTTATATCTTGGAATAAACCGCCACTTCGAAGATACACACAAATATCATCATTTTGACGTGATTTCATGTTTTGTGATGGTTGATTGTGTTTAATGGGTTAAGAGTTGTGAGAGTAGAATATATGAGAAGAKAAATGAAAGGGAATGTGTGAAAAATTATGAAGTAGGAGGTTGGTATTTATAGTGAAATTGGAGGCAGAAAAAAATGAAAAAAAATAATAAGAGATGTACGGGTTTATATCTGATTTACGAAACCCAAATCAGATAAAAATAATTTTTGCGTCTCCATAATTATAATGGTTTATTTTTAAACTTTTACCCATGAATTTTGGTTCTAAAAAAGTTAAAAAACACAACTTAAATGGCGTATCAGTTTTATTAAAAATACCACAAAAAATAAAAAATAAAAAAATAAAAGGCTGGATCGCCCCTAGGGGCGATGGGACAGCCTGGATGGCCTCCTAGGGCGAGGTCAAACCCGGTCTTTGAGGGTGAACAGTAATCTCATCTTTTAAGGAATTTTTTTTTAGAATTCAAATGTACGGATCTCCCCAAAAAAAGTACGGATCGCCCCAAACCAGTGCGGATCGCTCTTAGGGGAGATCTGGGTGGTCAAATACGCAAAACTTCTAAAACCCGGTTATTTTGTGGCAAAAGGTTGTATAAAATAGTTATTTTTATAAATTTCCCTCTTCTTTATCAATATACAATTTTTAAAAGTGAAAGTTACTGTGTTTGTATTCATCCCCCATTCTACAAACTGTTACCTATAAACTTTTGTAAATCCGGCTGGGACCAACAACGATATATATACAAATGTCGTGTATGTTTACATGCAGTGTGAAGCTAGCAGAAAAACCAACTTCAAAATCTCTCATTGAAAATTACCCTAAAATATTTATTGGAAACTTTTATCAAACCTTTGGTGTTCATCATAACACAAAGAAATATTACACAAGAAATTGAACGCAACAATAGTGGAATCCAACAAATTTTACATAAGAAATGGAAGAAATTTAATGCAAGTAGTCACAACAAAAGTCTACAACAAAAAACATGTGAGGAAGGATTCGAACCTTAGAGAGGAAACCTTTATTCAGTAGCCAATTCCTGTCCTTCGATATTTAGCTGCTATGAAGAAATTGAACAACATAGATGAGATGTAGGTTATAAGTGAAACATTGGTCAATAGCGAACTGATGCCCCTTTCTCTATATACGACTGCTATGAAATCGAACAAAATAAAAGAGACGGAGGTAATCTTAAAAAAAGACGTCTCTATGACCCCGAACATGATTAATTCATAAGGGATTTGACCAATTCAGATTCTCGACAAAATTTATCAAACCATATTTAGGGGCCGTTTATCAAACATTTATCCGGCAAGTGTTTATGGGTAAAATTTAATACTACCATTTATTTGCCGAGTAAGATTTTAGTCCACCAAAACAGTATCGTATGCAACAATTTACCCGGTAAGCGCTTACCATGGTAAGAGTCGTCGCTCTCAGTTAATGGGTAGAACTCTTGGTACTTGTCTCGCTCTTACCGGATAAGATTCTTGGTTCTTATCATATTCATACGGTAAGGTAATATGACTTGGTGTTGACCTATTCGAGTAAAGGGATTAACCAAATTTTAGAATTACGTTTGATACATGACACTCGGACCATACATCACGTAACAAAAATTACCGTTCGACGCTTTGACATGAACTAAAGTGATCATTGATTCAATTTTTAGGAGCCTCTTAACGATACAGCTCTCGAAGTCAACCAAACCCTTCATCTGAGGGGGTGTTTGGGAAAGCTTATTTAAGGTGCTTATCAACTTATTTCAGTCCACAACCGCTGATAAGTTATTTTGAGTGTTTGGATGTGAAAAAAAAAAAAACTGTTTATACCGGTGCCAAACCGGTAATAAGTTGTTTTTGATAAGTTACTCCCTCTTGACTTATTTGACATATTACCCTTTTAACCCTCTCATCGCATCCGTCTCTCCCCTCTCATCGCCGGCAAGTCCTCTGGTTTCTCATCGCCGGCTTCCTGCTTCTTCCTTCGCTTTGCATTTTGGTATAGGGTAGAAGATATACCTGATTCTTCCTTCGCTTTGCATTTTGCTTCCTGCTTCTTCCTTCGCTTCCTGCTTCTTCCTTCTTCCTTCTTCCTTCTTCCTGCTTCTTCCTTCGCTTCCTGCTTCTTCCTTCTTCCTGCTTCTTCCTGCTTCTTCCTTCGCTTCCTGCTTCTTCCTTCTTCCTGCTTCTTCCTTCGCTTCCTGCTTCTTCCTTCTTCCTTCTTCCTGCTTCTTCCTTCGCTTCCAGCTTCTTCCTTCGCTTCACCAACTTCCAACGATTCTAGGGTTTCAAATATGAACCCTTTGGTCATTTTGACGCATCATTTGCTTGAAGTATAACCTAAAAATGAGCTGTCTTTTTTGGTCATTTTGCATTTTGGTACCGCTATAAGTTAATCCAAACACTTTTTACAAAACTCCAGTTTGATACCGCATAAGTTAATAAGCACTTTTACAAAAAAGTATAAGTTGTTTTAAATAAGCTTACCCAAACACCCCCTGAATCGGATCGTCTCTCCCTCCCTCCCTCCCTGTCGAAGAATCAGCTAGCCATGTCTAGTAACCTATTCCAAGGGCTTCCTCCCCCTTCAGCACCACCGCCACCTCCTCCTCCGCCGGAGCAACCTGCTCCAACGTTGCTTCCTGCCACCGCCAAAGGTTCTCCAACTCGACCTGCCCCTGCTCTCAAGAGCGCCCTTAAACGTTCCAACCCTTCCGACTCCGACCCTCAAGGTATAGTCAGTTATCGTACGAATTTCTTCAAAAATATTTTAGGGTTCGCAACCTTGTCGCCAATAATTGATTTTTTCTTCTTATTAAATCTATAATAATTTGATTTTGTTGTTTAAATTGCAACGGAATCAAGTTATAAACAATATCTGTAATTATTCAGGAGCTAGGGTGTAGATTCGTTGATTTTCTTGTTATGGTTTTTCAGCCACTGCTCCAAAGAAAAGCTTGAGGTTTAAAACGATCGCTGACACTTCTGAAACGCAAGTCGTAAATGCCATGACAAAGATAGCTTCACATATAAGCAATGCTTCAAAATTCAGCAAGGCATCGAACCTTGCAATACAGCTGATCCAGGCTGGAAGCGTTAAACCTGGTAATAGTGACTACTTCTTTGCCATACTTGAAGCTGCAATGTATTCACCAACCACCTGTAATAATCCTCTGGTGAGGGCTGATTATCATGCATTGTTTTCAGCTTCACAGGACTTAAGCGAAGTAAGAAATTATGTGTCTACCTGATATTTTATGGTCATGAACTGGGACAGTTGCATAACGATGAACGATCTAATATATATGATCATTTTGTTTTGCAGTGCTTTACTCCGAAGCAAAGAAAGCATTTGAGTGTGTGGACAATCAGAGCTGTAATGGCGAATGATCTCTTCACTGATGATAGTTTTGTGGTAAGTCCTTTTCCTTGCGTGAATATGATACACCAATATAATATATGGATACTAGTTATCTATTTGATTGAAATGTACTTGCATCTAAACAGGCATAATGGGATACCTACACTGTCTCTTAGGGTAGCTGAACCCTTAACACAGGCATACTATTGTGCCAAAGACCTCTTGGTATAATGTAGATAAATATCTGTGTGCTTATATTTCAGCCATACCAAAAAACATACATGGACCATGCATGATAGTCTTGCAATAAGGTGCAAACTTGTGTCGGCAGATTAAATGTTTAGGCATTCATATAGATAAGTTTTTTCTGATTGGATTTTGTGTTGGTTACTATTCGAAGAGAGTTTGGATCAATGGAGATTTTGCTAAAGTTGTATGTGCAGTAATGCTCTTTAAAGGAGCAAGTGCCTATTGTTCCATTATATTTCCCACTCATAACTACAAACTAAGTAACCTGCTCTTGACCATGTGCTGTTTGTTTTATTTTCACTTGGGGCATATGACTGAAGGTATATTAATGTGCAATCACTGAGCTAGCATAAACTCTTTTATATAGTACTAATGTTGTTAGATATAGACCTAGTATAGGAGGTGTAGCTTTGATTGCTATCTTGTTCGTGGTTGTCAAGTGTTTTCTCGTCACCTATATAGTGCTGGGTGATCCAGTAGCCAATTTTGTTCCTTGCTTATTGTTGTGAAGGCGGGTTTCTTAAGCAACTAGTTGTTGCTTAGTCATCCATGGTGGCGCCTAAGATGCTGTAAAGGCCAAGGCAGAAGACTTGGAGTCCATTTACACGTAATATAGGGTTAATCTGAATCCCAATCTGGGTATTTTAAAGGGCTGTAATCTCTCATGTCGTGAAGAGAGAGTTTATACCTACCATTAGTGCTGTTGCCTCGCTGCTGCTTGCTTTGCCGCTGCATTCCTTTGCTTTAACTATTCATTCAGATTCTGTTGACTTGTCTTTTTATGTTCACCTAGGCGAGTGCCTTGTCACCTACGCATTTTTTGGACCTTTCTAGTTCACCCTCCATTTCTATCTCCACCCAGTCCGAAGTGAGTCATGTGTCGAGAGAGATGTTGACAAACGTCGGTGTAATGGATTAACATTAGCCTTTTCAGAATTAATGTATTTCCCATTTATGGTTACTGGCGAGCAAAAAAGATATAGAGGTTGTTTAGAATAATGTTATTTGTTGTTAAAATCATAAAAGTAAACTTGATTTTCTGGAAGTATAGTTTTGGCTTCATGATCACTAATCAGCATGGTGGATTGGTGGGTCTTGCGATGCTTGGCGTGTAGTTTAGTTGCTATCTTATTGAAGGAGCTAGATCTGAAACATGCAAGGTACTGCAGAGAGCCAAAATACACGAATGGGCATTATATTTATCCATCCTGATGTGATTACTTAGAAATATTCAGGAACTATTATTAATATTATGAGTATGGAGGCGTAGAACTTGAAGTACTAAAAACTCGCTTAATATGTTTATGCTTCTTCCCTGAACTACATGCATAGGTATCAAGTGTTAAACATGGGATATCTGAATGGCTCTAGTTAACAGCAACGTCTTATGCACGGTGCCCTATGCCCATCAAATCTAATCAACAAGTTCTTTTTTTTGGATGAAAGTTAATTGTAAAGGGGCTCAGGTTTCACCTGAATGTAAGACATCTTTACTAGAAATCTCCACCATAGGCTGGCAACCACCTTACTATAAGCATGCCATATTTATCCTGGTTTCATACATTCTACCTCAACAAATATATGCCAATCAAATCAAGGAGTTACTTTTAACCTTTTGGTGAGAATTGGTTTTATCAACATATCTGCTGGAATCTGGATTATCTGCATTGATCATCTTAATGAATACCTTACCTTATAAAAATTACATCCTGAATAGTCTGATGCTTGGCATCTATATTTTTGGTCCTTAGTGATGCAAATGGTTTTTACTTGGATTTATAGCACTTTGATTGTTGCAAATAATGCAACATGAGCTTCTCGTCATAATAATAGCTTCCCCCAAGAAAGGTTTTTGAGACTTTGAGACATTTTTTCAAAAGGAAAGTTAATGGATGATGACGATTTTTCCTTTCCACATCCCAATTTGCCATGTCAGTGCAAGAGATGCATGGCTATCCCCTCATTTTGAAGGTGCAATGACAAGGAATGGTTTTAGAATTATGTACCAACCTTTGTTCACAACTTCTTACACATTGTGTTGAGCCTTGGGTATAGCATGGAAAACAGAAGAGTCACTCACTTCAAAATTTTGTTTTAGCAAATAACCCTTGTTACATAGGTGAAAATCATCAATGAATTTGACCAACCAACAAGCCGGTGAAGTGTTTGTGAATTAGGAGGGACCCCAAGTATGACCATGGATCATAGAAAAAGGATTTGTTGTCCTGTTGCTACTTATAAGGGAAAATGTTGATGTTTAGCAACTTCACAAATGCTTGCACTGAAAATTGTTTAAGCTAACATCCTTAGGTGGAGAGGTAAACATGTCACTGAATAAACTAACAGAGGCATGTATCTGAAGTTGATTGAGAATTGCGTGACAAGAACAAGAGGATCGGGTTATTCATGTTGTTCACCTGTAGACAGCAAAGGCTGTGTTTTACCTTGGCAACTTCAATCATTGTCTTTATCGGTTGGTCCTGAAATAGACAATATTGACAAGAGAAATATGCATTTTAAATCCTATGTGAATTGGCAATAGACAAAAGATTTGTAGAAAGTTTAGGTATATGGAAAATCTCTTATAGGATTCTATATGGGCTTAAAACGACATCTTCTTGACTGGAAACAGGCCAAGGATCGATCACCAATGTCTATCTTCTTACTGGCTAGGCAAGGTTACCAAGTGCTAAAGTGATGGGCATCATGGGTCATATGGCTGCCCCCCCCCCCCCCCCACCACAAAGTTAATGACCATAGGAGTTGGGGAAATATTAACTTGCAATAGTTAAGGTTTTCAGAATTCAAAGCATGAGACTTACCCACATTTGCTAACAGACATGTATCTTTTTGTTTTTCCAATAAATTAAAGAGTGCCCTCAGTCTTCCAGCATGCTCTTTGTTTAATTCATTGTGTTCCTCACCATTGGCACTTGGGCATTAATGTTGTGGTTTTTCTAAGATCGAGTCATATGTACTTGAATTTGCTTGCATGCCACTTTGAGGCCATGTTCTATTGAGAGCTCTGCGGTTTCGCATGTCATTTCCAGCATTGGACCTTCATACGTCAAGACTTCTTGCAGCATGCATACCAAAAACTTTGTCTTTGTTTGAGAGTCGTGGCTTTAATTTCTGCTGTGCTTGAGGCTTGTGTTGTTTTTGGGTTGTATCTCTGATTTTGATATTTGTCTTTCCTACTATCGCTGATCCTGGAACCAATGGTGTCAGAAGCATAACTTAACTTCAGCTTTCTTCTGCACTGACGATGGAAATGGTCTCATCCAGTTAAGGTGATTACCCTTTACATATAATCTGAATTCTGACTTGATCAAATTTCATATCTTACCTAAGAAAGAAATCATAAAATTATAACTTTCAATAAAATACCCTCATCCAGTTAAGGGGTGATTACTCTTTGCATATAATCTGAATTCTGACTTGATCAAATTTCATATTACCTAAGAAAGAAATCATAAAATTAAAACTTTCAATAAAGTAACTTCTATATCGCTGCATCTTTGTTGCATGTATCTTGATGCATAGGTAATGGCCCATTTCTTGCCATAAATTTGAAGCAGATTAGAATCCTCCAAGATTGAACCTTCCCCTTCGATATCAAATTTTTGTGCAGCATCCTCCGGCATCTCTGGTCTTTGGTAGACACATGGAACTATGGAAGTATGAGAAATTTTAGGTAAACAGAACTGCACTACCAAGAAATGACCATGTAGTCTTCTTCATCCCCACAATGATCCTGGGATCGCCATCTTGGGTCTGGTACCAAGGAGATGCCTTGCTTTTCATTTTCCCCTATAGAGAACTCTGAGCCAATCGAGCTCATTACATGTACTTTTTCCCATTTCTTGACTTCTGGTCACTGTATTGATTTGCCTTGGCATCTTGGTAGCTTTTCTTGTGATATGACTAGGAGAATGTTTCCCCTATATTCTAGCCACTTCTCACTTTTGTCTCTATGCTTCCATTCTTCTTTTACCTAAATTCCCTCATGCTTTCATTCTGTATTACACTCTTATTTGATCTCCTTGGCATTCTTTTGCATGAGCAGGTGCTATGACGGTCATTTTTGAAGTTTGTCTACTTCTAATTTTTGTATTTGAACCTTTATGACCCCTTTACAATTTTGAATACGACTAATTCCGCAACTTGTACATCTTGTAAATTTAACCTTCAGATCAGTCGTTGGCTTACATGTTAATTTTTGGCCAAGTTTAGTGCTTAAGTTTGTCATTCACATATTATCCAGTGTTCGCATGGCTTTGCTTCTTGTTCCATGATCTTGGCAATTTTTTTCGTTTTTTGAGAAGTCATATGCAGCTTAATCCAATTGTTGATCTGTTCTGTGCAAGATTATGTTTTCATAAAATCAACACATTAAAAGACTTCATCATTGAAGTCTGATAGGGTTCAAACGGAAAAACTGGATTCTTTTTCCCTTTTGATGCCTTGAGTTGTATTTAAATGACAATGTTTCTACTAGGCACTAGCATAGAAGCACAATGGCAGTTAGTTGACTCTGGTGTGGGAGTACTTCGAACTCTATTTTCCTGTCTCCTTTTTCCCTGTTTTAGGTTTTTTCTTTCCGGACCTCGCCTTTTGTTATTCCCTTTATTTCTTTGGGGAAACTTTGTATCTTTTCTTCGCACACTTCTCACAAGTCTGACCCCACTTTCGGGCGGGATATACTGGGCAAGGTTGTTGTGTCTTCGTGTAGAAGTTTTGGTGTAAAGCAATTATTATTTGGTTGTTGATTAATTATTAACTTTCTAAATGAATAAGCCAGCATA